TTTATATTTTATTTCTTTACATATTTTATGTTAACTTATTGTTTGAGTATTATTATTTTTAAACATTTATTATCATTATTATTATCATATTTTACCCTCAGGAGTTACTTCTTCTTCAACTTCCTCCTTCTGCGTTTTTACGGCCTGATATTCGCAAAGAATACCACTTAAACTTAACAGGAAGCGTTTTTTCCCCAATGGGTATAAAAAAGTAATTAGCTGTAGCGCCAGTACTAGTCTAGGGTATTCCTCGGCTCATCAATGCCACCCAGACACCACTGGCTTGTTCTAGTTGTGCTTTGCACTGTCATAAGCCTTCAACCCGCTTGTGCACTTACTAGCCGTCGTACTCATCGTATCCATTCCCTTGGCACCATGGCACATTGTCACCGGAAGTGCCACAATCACACACACACACACATACGCACATGGCCCTGTGTCAGTTAGCAGTCGTCTTGGCAACGGGACACCGATCGGCTTTTGGCCACACACACACACAAATATATATATTTATAGAAATATGCATTTATTGTGCAGCGGAATGAAGTTTTTTATTTTGTTGATATGGCAACGGACATTGGCATGCAGCTGGTGCGTGCGGCAGCCAAGCCACAGCTAAGTTCTGGCTGCACTTTGTGTCTCTGGCTTCAATGTTGTCCAGCTGTTCATTGGATGCTGGACAGTAAAATATTCCAGGACTTGGCTGCCTTTTTACGATTTTGCTGGTATTTATAATTTGACAGATATCACTAATACAGCGCGCATCAGAGGTTTATAGCATGGACAAATAGTAAAAAGTCCTTTTGCGATAATCAAGTGCTTTACTGCAGTGAGTCTCTATCGAACCCCTTGGAGCTTTGCTTTCGTTTTTTGCTCTTCTTTCTGGTACTCATCCATCTATGCTGCGAGCCACATCAACTGACCGAACGCTGGCTGGCCATGGCCCCGATGCCATCCGTGTGTCCAGGCATCAGTTAAATCTAACAAATGACACCCAACTGCCAAAACGAAATCACTATGAATGTCACCTGGGTTTCGTCATTCGACCAAAAGTTGGCGAACGCCTCGCACCGCGCTACACCCACCTCCCCCCAAAACGACTGCGGGCTCAACGAATTTTGACATGTGCCATTATTAGTTCAGCACTCTGACATTTTTTTTCAGCTCTAGAGAATCCTATTGGGGGTTTTGGCTTTGTTTTTGCGCGCACAATGCGTTCTAGAGTTTTTATGACCATAAGAGTTTTACTTCTCAGATGGATGACAGCAATAAAGGTGCACACACACACACACACACACGCACACACAGACACATAGACACAGGCACAACCTTGACGTGGCGTGGTGTGGTGTGTGGCATGGCGTGGCCATTTTATCACACGAACACACATTGCTCATACGCAACGTTGGCCACAGGCCTCCCCATTGCCGGCGCTGGCCTCGTTGGCTGCACTAATTAAACTTGTGCTCGACGGTTATTATGGCTGCATTGCATGGCATCGGTTAATGTGTGCTACACGACATACCCGGCCACACAGCCCCACTTTGGCGCCCGTTGGCCGGCCCCGCCCAACGGCCGCCCACCTGTTTTAATGCCGCGTCGCATTGTCTTTTCGAGGCCTTCGCCATAAAAAAGGTCTGCGGCGAGCGCACTAAGCATTTACGTTTGCGCATCTAATTAAAATAAGTTCGCATGGCAATGGCACTTCAAAGTCTAAATTATCCTGATGGCTTCATTCGTTTCGACTGCAAACACACACACACACACATAGAGAGCATACCCCCAGGTGCTCGCTGTGACTCTGGGCCAGATAGCCAGCGACGGCGAAGGGACAACATTAAAAGCACGTGTAACGCAACACAGCCAACTATTTGCGCACAATGTCTGCAGCGGCAGCGTCGTGGGCCACCGTTATGTAATTATAATATTTTTATTAGCTTATCTGATACGCCAACAACAAGGAAATAACATAAATTCACTTGCCGCTACTGCTTTGCCAAGTCTCTTTGATTCGCCCGGGTCCGGTCTATTCAAAAAATGTACAGCAGCATCGAGGGTGAATCCATTCAAATACTGTCAGCGACTCGCTCATACTCTGCTGCTTGAAACTGAAGTGATGTTTGTGAATTCGTTTAGGGGTTGACCTTAGTAAGTTTAGTTAAAGAATTTAAAGTAATTTTTGTAATAATTAATTATAGTTATCCGCTGAGACATGCTAAGGATAGCATATGAGACCTCTTTAGGTAGACGAAGTTAATTTGAGTTGTTTTATTTATTTTATTTTTATTTATTTATT